GTTTGTGTTGTGTTTAGTTTTGTTCTGTTCCCAAGTTGGTACATTTAAAAAAGATTTACCGTGGCGGAGCAACGGGATGCAGCTAGTCTATAATAAAGCGGGCTGTGTCTGTCCTTCCTTCCTTCCTTCCGTCCGTCATCGCTATAGATTTTGGGGACTATAAAAGTAAACATTCGCACCATGCTGTGCTTTTCAGTGCACCTCAGTGTCTTATTATAAGTAATAGAGTAGGGTTTGTTTTTATAGCGGCATAGAGCTATTTTATAATTGCCACGGTTTTTTACTCTTTCGCATAACGTCAAGAAAAATATTAAATACACGCAAACTGCTAAAACGTATTAAAAAGGATTAATGTCAAATATCATTTTCGTTTAGGCTCCCCAGAAAAAGTGGGATACATTTTAATAACATAATAACAGTAGGGTAGAAAAATCAAATTAATTTAACTCTTTTCTAATTTTGACAAAGGAGGTAATTTAAAAATACATTAAACTCACGCTAATAAAAAATGTGAATGCAAATATACGTTCGTCATAGAAGGAATTAGTGTTGCAATAATATAATTAGCAAAATGTGAATGCAAATTATTCGGATGTGTAAGAGGAAATTATTATTAGAAAATTATAATTAGCATGGATTGATAAAAGGCAATCTTTTATTTATTTTATTCACTGAATGTAGGCCCCTACTGTTTATTACTTATAATTTTTAATCAACTATTCAGCACTATTATAGGCGCGTCATCACGTTCATTAGGTGCCCAATGGTTTTAGTTATGAAACTCAATTGTAAATTTTTAAAATTTAAAGTACTGGGAAAAAAAATGCGTGAATGGATAAAGTGAAATATTGTAGGTAAAACACGGATATTTTAAATACTGCCTATTATTTATACTGTTTTCTAATTATTATTCTGTCGGTTTGCGGAGAAGCTAGGGGTTTTATAGGAGAGGCGTTGCGATAAGGGGGGGGGGGGCATATGTCCCCGGGTGCCGACCTTAGGGGGGCGCCAAAGTGGGTTGGAAAAAATTTGCGAGGGGGGGGGGGGGGAGGGTGGAAATCGAAAGTTTTAGGGGGGGGGGAAGGGGGGGTGCAAATCGAAAGTTTCAGGGGGGGTGCAATCACTGGAAAGGGCGCGATTTGGCGCTACGGGCTAGACTGTGAGCAATATGCCTTTATGATTGCATTTAAAATTGTGTTTATGTTATGAGTGTTGTGTTTGTTTTTTTCGTTTTTTTTTTTTTTTTTGCGTTCGTTTATGTTGTGTTTAGTTTTGTTCTGTTCCCAAGTTGGTACATTTAAAAAATATTTACCGTGGCGGAGCACGGGATGCAGCTAGTATATACATATATACATATTGGCCTAAATATAAAATATATATTATATATATATATATATATATTATATATATATATATATATATATATATATATATATATATATATATATACTATATATTATATATATATATATATATCCTCTTACACCCCTGCTCTACCTTTTTTTACGTCGTCTCAAAAACTAACGGCATTGTTTTACAACCTTTGCATGCTAATATAATTATAATTTATATTTCATAGAAACACTAACCTGCTTATCCCCCCTTCTATTATGTCACCCACGGTTAACGTCATCCACGTCTGGAACTATAGCTACCGCCATTAGCCGTCAATAACTGCCAGTAACCGCCAATCTTAGGTATACGACTTGAACTCACGAGGGTCGTAAAATTCGCGGATGTCAAGAAACCAGAACACCGGATATTCCCGTACCACATTATTTTACAGCTCAAAGCTCTATATTTAGTCACAGCATTTATTATTTCGACTGACGTTGTGTTGGTGGGGCGGTGGGGATGGGGGAGGGGGATGGGGGGCGTGGGGTGGAGAGTGGGGGGGGGGGGGGGGGGTATTATCATTATAAGATTGAAGTATTACGTAAGGGATAGACAGTTAGTTAGTTGACTGGGGGTAGGGAGTTTGTGGGTGGGGTTTCGACACGTTGTGACGTTATATAAGGTGACGACGTGTTTGGCGATAGAAAATATTGAAAATGTGCAGAATGTGTAAATATAGGTGAAGATTTTCTTTCAAGGGGTCGAATGTCAATGTCCGCGTCCCCCCCTTTTTTTTCGAACGAAAACAATATATAGGCCCATAGAAAATATAAAGAAAATGTATTCTCTATGTCCGTCTGAAATTTAAGTGCGCCGCCCCCCCCCCCCCCCCCCAATGAAGTTTCAAGTGCCTCCATCCCTCTTAAAGAACAATATCTGAAACCTCAGGGGTCGTCCATAAATGACGTCACACGTCATAGGGCGGGAGGAGGGGGTCACTAATTTTGTGACGGTGTTTGATGAGGGGGAAGGGGGCAGGGGCGGAACTAAAGTGCCGCCAGACCCCGCAATGCGGGGGTGGGGGGGGGGGTGGGAGGGCATGCTATTTAGGGCCCCATAGCCAACCATAATAATTTTTAGCGCAATTTCCATACTGGCAAATTGCGTTTAATAATGCGTCATTTCTGGATGGATGTATGGATGTGTGGATGTGTGTCCGCAGCCTTTAAGTCGTACTCTCCTCCTCAACCATGCAATATCGAGGACTAGTTCCAAAGCAAATATGCTAAGCAAGTTCCAATGATGATTGTGGGCCAAAAAAATTCCCGGGAATTCCTTCCTGGATTTCCCGGAAAAGCCAAAAAACCTCGAACAAATGCAGTTTTTGCTCCATATCTCGGCAACCAGACCACTTAGCGACTTGAAACATTTACCAATCGATTCCTGCCATAATTTAGACCAATATTGCCGAAGAAAGTTTTTAAAAATATCCTTTCGTTCGGTCACAAAAAAATTAATTAGATGTTATTTCGCGTTTTAGAATGGCAATAGGAATTGATTAAAATACCAATGTTTTAGGAAAAATTCATCTGCAATTTTGAGGGGGGGGGGGGGGGTTATAGGCTGAAGTGTGACGTCATTTTAGGGGGGGGGGCTGGCTTTTTGTGACGATGTGTGACGGGGGGGGGGGGCAGAGTTTCTTCTAGGCATCTCTTCGGGGGGTCAAAGCCCCCCGATATTTTTTTACCGCCCCCCCCCCCCCAACGAAATGAAATTTATATAATTTATATAGAAAATATATACTTTTAACAGTGTCCCGCCCCCCCCCCCTAAGAAAGTCTACGGCCCCCCCCCCCCCCCCTCCCGAAAATTTCAAGTGACCCCCCCCCCGGAGAAAAAAGTCTGGAAGAAACACTGAGGGGGGGGGGAATCGTCAAAAAAGCGTGACGTCATTTATGGATGACCCCCTCAAACCTAAATTCAATATCTAAATTTCCAATTTTAGAAATTGATTTGCTATAATCCATCCACGACATGAAAAAAAACAAATGACTAGGAATTTAGCCAGCTACGTGAACTGATAGGCTTTATAAGTTACTTTTTATTTTTGAAGTTGTCATTTTAAATATATGTATACTCTAACATAATTATACTTCATAATTTAATGTCTTTTAAAATTGCAATCCCTGGACCATAATGTATAGAGCTTTTTTATTCCAATACTTTTCAAAATATAATTAAGGGGAAGCAATCTAACGCTTCCGCTGACAAGTCACAGGATAAATTTCCGTATACAGAACAAATTTTGTAGGCCTAATTCTAATAATTATTTTATTCATTGGTAATTCTAACATAACTGTTAATTGTTGGATAGAATAACTGTAGAGTTTAGAGTACTAGTATTGAAATCTAGTCACTCTAGTTCACTATATCTAGATTTAGAATAAGATCTAGGGTAAAATCACGATATAGCGTCGGAAATTATTGGGTAATGTTCGTTGAGTTTCGGTAACATTCGTTACTGTAAACCATAGTTTATTTGACCGGTGAAATAAAAATAAAGTCAAGTGCATTAAATTAATGTTTTAACTTAATTTACAGTTTAATTGACAGAAAATTAATAACAGATAGAAAATCTAAATATTATTAATAAACTCGAGTGTAGTAATTAATTATTATTTTTTTTAAGAAACAGAAAAAACCTGCAGAAGATTTGCGACAATCAGCTCTTGTTCTGTTAATAGTTAATAAGACGATTAGATTAACTAACTAAAGTTAAAAGTAGTAAGAATAACTAGAATAATGTTTAGTAGCAGCAATAATTAGCACATACACTTAAAATAATTAGAAATACAAAATAATTAGCAAAACAGTATTTAAAATGCAACTAAAATCAATCCTTGCACATTTTTAAACATTATGTATTAAAAATAATATGGCGGCAAATAAATTATGGTTTACAGTATTTCCGGTGGTTTCCGGAACGGCTCGACAGACTACGCCATGGTTTTACTGTTTTTTTACTGCTGTACAGTTCCGGAATAATAACCGACGCTATATCGTGATTTTACCAGATCTAGATCTACAAGACAAGAACAAGTCTAGAAAATCAAAAAGTTGTAAAAGCACAAAAAAATGTCAAAAATCATTAAAATGATTACAAATGAATTGACTAAAACTAAGAAAATAATTATAGAGAGTCTAGGGCTAGATCTAGATCAGTTCATTTTTACTACTTTTAGAGTAGGCTGCTTACTTAACTATAAGGAAGTGGCTATTCGGACCCGGGTCCCAATAGCTAGGTTTTTCGATTCGTGAAATCTCGTTCTCGCGGTTTTGAAGCACCCGTGTTTTGGGCGGCCATATAAAATATCGAATCATTTCTTTCTCATGAAGTACATGATAGTTAAAACTAAGGATTGTATCGTAATCGGATAGATTTTCACTCGAAACTGCCCATGTATTTACGGGGCGAATAATTAACATTTTAATAATGGCAGCTTGACCTAATTTCTTTATTTGTATTTAACGAGGCAGTCGAGAGAAAGTCACGCTGACCTAGCTTGCGTTTCAAGTCGAATAAACTAAAAGCAGGTGCGTTCTACAATAACTTTATTGTAATATACAATTTGTATATCATCTTTACTATCAAATAAAAATAGAATTGTTTAATATAATTAGGGTGGAAACAATGCTTTTGAGGGTGTAAGTAATAATGCCATTTTATTATATTCTTGTTTGGTGAAAACGAGGCGCGGGAAAATGTGTGCCGCGCAAGAATCCAATCATTTGGCTAGATTTATGACTGTTTTTTATGTCATACCTAAAAATAGAATGTTTACGCTTTCTTCGTTGATGATCGTTTTTATTATTTTTTAAATTGAAAGTATGAATTATTAGTTAGATTGCGGATTTTGTAACTTGGTATACTTACCTTTTATCAATTTAAAAAACATAGCATGCTAATTGTGAACAAATATAGTCATAAAACACAGAAATATAAAGTTATAATTGCGATGTGCCACACCCGGGCCACACCCCCTCAAGAAAGCATGTGTTTATTAAGCTGTTTATCTCACTTTACAACAGTAATTAAAATTAATTTTCAAATTTTTATCACTTATTGGGTAAGATTAAGCACATGTTTACCAAAAATAAAAATAAAACAAAAGCAAATTCTGTTTTAATGAAGGTCACGGGTGAAGTTTTTTTTTCCTTCTGTCACGTTCAGTGGAGGGTGCCACAGGCTGACCTGACTTTGGAATTTTTTTCAGTAATAATGACTTTGCACAGAAAGTTAAAATATGCTAAATTAGCTTAGTTTACTAGTGTTCTAACTATTATTGATACATTTTTAATAAAAAAATCATTCTGTAATTCTCATCAAACAGCCTACAATAGCCACGGCCGCTATTGGGACCCGGGTCCTAATAGCCTAGGCCGCTATTGGGACCCGGCATTAAGTTCGTTAAGCACTGGTACAACCTGTATTAAAATTATAACTTTTATGTTTATTTGATTTTTCTTGTGGATTTGCTCGTATTTTGTTGTCTTTTATTGTAATTAGGTATACAGATTATCTAGCGTTAGTTCTTGCGTTGCTATTTCTAAATACCCTATATTTAGCTTTATATAGAAAATCATTAAATAATTAGGAATTATCGTAAGACGTCGTGATCGAGTGGAGAACGCAGATCCTCCCGATTCTCAATTATTTACGGGATCGGAACCTATCAAAGCTCTCTTTTTTGTGAGAAATAAAGTGTATATATCTATGTTTACCATTATAATGAGTTGTTTGCATAAGTGTCTTTTTTAAATTGGTTTTTTTTTTTTAAGATTATATATTTTTTTCTAGATTTAGGATTTTAAACATGCCAATTATAAAAACATCGTTGCTCCATTGATCGCCCGCTCGCGTTTTCTGGTCAGCGCAAGAAAAATACAGACACGGTGTAGCCAGGGTCACTGTCAGTTCACTTTGGTTTAGTTGTGAACAGTGTAGACGTATATCATACGTCATAGCAAGACCATTGCTATGAGCTTGTCGAGATTTGTCGTCGTCGTAGTCCCCCCCCCCCCCCCTCCCAACCCAGCTAGAGGGAAAAACGGATTTGGGGTCATTTTGAGTTCAAATGTTACATATTGTTCTATTAAAGCGTACTACAATGTATGCGAGATATTCGTGTTAAAAAAAACGGACCCGGGAGCTGTATTCTGCAGCCTATAGAGCTTTTTTATACAATTATATATATATATATATATATATATATATATATATATATATATATATATATATATTTTGACGGATAGACCTATGAAATCAAATTACGTTTAACAGAAGATAAAAAAAAATAAAACACATATTAACATGCGCACTCAACATTCGCTCGGCCATAGAAGTTCATACTATAGGCCATAATTATACTATAGACCTAACGACACCCGCTCATCATAACATTTGTCAGTAATGATATCGGGTATTTAAAGCAGGATCTCAATATATCATTTAGAATTACAAGGAAAAAAATCACAACAGAAAAGCAATATCCTGCATCTTTAAAGAACTTTTGTATAACTAAATCTAAACAATTCTATTGGCTGGTCCCAATTGCGGCTGAGGCTATTGGGACCTGGGTCCGAATAGATGCATCCTAACTATAATACTATCCCTACAATCACTAATGACTAATGTAATCTAATGGTGTAATTCTAATAGATCTAGTAGTAGATTAGTAGGCCTACATATACAGTACTGATTCAGTAGGCTAGTTGGTGCGGAATAATAGTAGATATAAATCTAGATTATTCTTATTAACTTAGCCTAGAATAATCTAGATTCTAGGTTCCCCCCCCCCCCCCCCCCCCCCCCAGTCAGGTGAACAAAGTACGACAATAATAATACTGCATAGGCCTAACAGTTATTATTGTAGTTGTGGAAATTATGTCTAACCCAAACAGTGGTTGGACCTACATGCTTTTCTTTTCATTTTCAACTCTAGAAGCTAGCTAGCTAAGAACAGGGAGGGGGGTCCTAGCTCGGATAAATGAGAACACTTTTAGCTTTACTAAATCTCATAATTCTTTACACGCGAGACTATGCCAGGCCTATACTAATACTACAGTCACTATTCAACAGTATAGAGTAAAGCTTAAGAAAATGGATGATTTTCCATTCAGTGTTTCTTCCAGACTTTTTTCTCCGGGGGGGGGGGGGGGGGGAGGCACTTGAAATTTTCAGGGGGGGGCGGTAAACTTTCTTCGGGGGGGGGGGGGCGGACACTGTTAAAAGTATATATTTTCTATATAAATTATATCAATTTCATTTCGTTCGGGGGGCGGTAAAAAATTGCGAAGAGATGCCTGCAAGTAGCTCTGTTTCCATTCTGTTCCATGAAATTAACTGTTTACAGTAAGTTGTCTTCTGTAACAGCCAGCCAAGTCAAAATGATGCTGCTGGTTGACAAATAAAACTGAAATCACACAAATTTTGTTATGGATTCTCTTGTTTATTTCATCTCAATGTTATTATATAGTTTATAGGAATAGTTTGACCTATATTAATAATGTTGCAATTAAAGTTACGAAGTTTCTATTCCTTGTCGACTGGGGATAGCCCTATTAATATTAGGGCTATTCACAGGCAAAATTTAGAGATAAAACTATTTAACTATAGTGACAACAGGTTAAAAGTTTGATTGAGTTTGCTCAGTAAAATAATATAGATACAATAAACAAGTACAATGAATGAGGTTAAAAAGCAAAAAAAAATTCTGATTTTACTTTTTTAATGGAAAATAACATATTAAAAAAAACGACTCATTACTGTTTTTGTTATATAAATATCCATATTCAAAATGAAAATAAAAACCCTTCTCTTCCACACAGAAAAAAATCTTAATTAAATGCTTATTTTGCATATATATTTAAATTTTTTTTTAGGTTGCACCTTTGATAGATAAGATACAAAGTTAGGTTACACTTTCAATAGACAGGAAACAAAGCTAGATAACACTTTTGGAAGACAAGAACCCAGTCAAGATGCAGAACTCTGGCAGCCCACAACTAGACCTAACTGGGAAGCTGATCATCAAAGTTGCACTGGGTGATGACATTAGACGTATTCCCATTCACAATGAAGATATAACATACGATGAGCTCGTCCTCATGATGCAGCGGGTCTACAGGGGAAAGCTGAGCACCAATGATGAAATTACTATTAAATATAAAGATGAAGGTAATAGCACATACAAAATTTATTAATGTCAATATAATGATGTAGGTAATTAATTGCTCCAATGATGAAATTACTATCTATATATATAATTCTCTTCTTGGAGACGCTAGAAAACAAGCTGTAAGCACGCTCCCTACCACCCCGCCCCTACATGGTCTGGTGAGCTTTGGTTCACGCTAAATGTTTACAATCGTAGAGCCGGGTTTAGTGACGGTTACTAGGGGCAGATAATTTAGTTTGAAACGATTTTAAACTTAGGGGAGGTAACTAAGAGGAGGCTGCTTTCACGGGGGGGGGGGGTTGGTGGGTAGGGTAGGGGTTGGGGGAAAGGAGGGTGAGGGTAGTATCGTCCTTAACGACCTACTGATAGTGTTTTAAAGCAAATATTTTCAGTGGCAGCATTGGTACTGTCGAATTCACAAATAATGAATTACTGAAAAGTAGAAAATAAAACAACTAAATAGCTGCGTATGATAAACCGCGGGTCTGCTCGTTAAATATATAGATGAAGGTAATTGTACATAAAAATTAATTACGTAAATTTAAATATTTAATAATACTAATTATAATATGAAGGTAATTAAACATTTAAAATGAATTATGCAAATTTAAAGATGTGGGTAATTATATGCACCAGAGATGAAGTAACTATTAAATATAACATTGAAGGTTATTCGATATATACAATTAATTTATGTAAATATAAAGATATGGGAAATTAATTGCACCAGTTATGAAATTACTATTAGATATAAAGAATTTTAAAAATATAAAGATGTTAGTAATTGATTTTAAAAAAATATATAGATGTAAGTTATTACCTAAGTCTTAGGTAATAACTTAATCTATATATTTTTTGTATAACTCACTTATATTAAAGTATGAAAGTAAAAAGATACTCAATTACATTTGAAGAAGTTAACTTCATAAAATAATTACATTTACATGAAGAGATTAGGCTTAAACCCTTTTTTTGTTTGATTAATGGTTGCTTTTAATTAGCAACAATGTTAAAAAGAATTTATTTCTAACTTTAAAAAAATGTCTATACATTACAGATGGTACTTAAAGTATGCTAAATTTACTTTTAGTATTGTTGATTATATTTTTAATTTTTTTTTCAGATGGTGACCTGATAACAATCTTTGACAGTTCTGACTTGACCTTTGCCATCCAGTGTAGCAGAATATTGAAAATTACTTTATTTAGTAAGTCATATAAACATACACATATTAAAAGAGTTACGATAAACTAAAGTTAGTTCAAACATTCATGACCATGTTCTGTACTAAATGTTTTGACCTAACCTGATCAATTGTACCCACAGCGAGCGGCTCAGCCAAATCATTACTAGAGCCAGTGTGTGCGTCCAGCATTAGGAGAGAGCTCCAGGACATCAGGGACAGGGTGGTCAATCTTCTGGACAGGCTGGAGACCACAGCCCTGATAGGGGGAGCTCAAGGTCTGAGCATTGCTGACGGCATAGCTGGGAAAGGTGAGCCAGTATATAAATAAAATAATTTTTTTGTATATTTGCATTAGTCAACATTCTCTAAGCTGAGTTGTTTACTCAATGTGAGTATGTTGACAGAAAATATTTTGTGTACTCACATTAGGTAGTTATTCTGATTGCGCAGTCCTTTTACATGTAAAGGTTGAAGACATGGGGGAAGTCTACTTCATCTGCCCAAAGCACAGTCAAGTCGTATTGTAATTAGGGTGATCTGCTATCCTTTATAAAATGTTTTATTTAAAAAAAAATTCAGATAAAGCTCAACCTCAGAATTTGTGTGGTCAGAAAAAATGTGTCATAGCTGCCGTTAATAAAATGTCTTTTTAAACATGTTTCAGATAAATCTGGACCCCAGAGTTTAAATTATCTAATTAAAAGACATGAATAGCTGCCCTTTATAAATTGTTTTATTCCAACATCTGTCTTTCAGATAAATCTCAACCCCAGGCCCAGAGACCAGCTAATGCTTTAGGAGGGAAGGAGTTTGATCCCCTTAGTAGCCAGAAGTCATGGGAGGAACAAGCCCATAATAAAGTAGCTGCCTCTTTTGGGATGGATGGAAATGGTGAGTTACATTACATAACTATCTTACGCACTTAGACATTGTTATTGTCAATGTTTTAACTGCAGAACCATTTAAAGGAATTTTTAAAATTCTTGGCTTTAAAAAGAACGGATTGTAAATTTTTTATAAACCTAAATCTAATTTAACAAATAATGTATTTGACATTTTTTTTTTTCGAAATAACTATTTATGTAGTATCCTGTGTTGAGAGTTAAACATGACTATCGTCATTCTTTTGAACAAATAATTTGTTGTGTCAAGTGATCTGTTTTGATTGATTTTTTTTGTTTGTTAAGATGCACTGTTTTGAATTTTTAATATTTTATGTTCCATCCTTAAATTGTACTGAGAAGTTAAATTAAATATGACTGGTATAGTCTACTCTTGAAAATAAAAAAAAAATTTTTTTTGTTGCAGTAACGTCATCCTCCCAGTATGATCGAGCTGCCACCCCTGATAGCATATCAAGCATTGGCTCCTCGGCCAGCAACCAGGTCAAGGCACAGCAGAACAGTTACCAGGTAATGTTACCTTTTAATTCATCATAGGCCTGGTTCCTTTTGTGACAACTCAGATTTTTCTTTTTAGTGGAAGTAAAATAATTCAAGTTACTCCAGTGGTTTTGTTATGGGACAGCGTGGCTTAGGGGTAGAGTTCTAGACTGCTTACCCGAAAGTCTTGAGTTCGAATCTGGACTCAGAATCAGTAGAATGTCCCTGAGTCTACCTAGCTCTTATGGGTTCCTAACACATGTTAAGGAAGCTAATGCTGCTGGTCATAGTGCTGATCACATTATCCCTTTGTGTGTTGAGGTAATTTAAAGGGATGAACTCTACTTCATCTGACCCATGTGTCATGGGCAACAAATGGGAAAAGATGATGAAGTGGTTTTGTTAACCTTTATTTTGTTATTTTAAACTGCTGATGTTAACTATGATGAAATTCTACAGAAATTAGGGGTTATTGCATTGCCTATTCACTCAATGTTTCAGTGCAGTTTGATATAAGATTCAATATTTAAAAGTAGTTAGTGGTCTCAGCAGAGTTTACATGCACTCTAAGGCATTTTAAAATTATGTTTAATGTGCGTTAAATTTTAACTGTGTACAGCCACCCCCTGCTGCCACCAACCCCCAGCAGCAACAACAGCAGGTACAGCAACAGCAACCTATACAACAACAACAACAACAGATTCCCTCAACCCCCCAGGGTCAGCCTAGCTTTGGTGTCCAGCCGGTGTACAGGGGTCAGGCTGCCCCCCTCCCCCAGTCTTACGCTGGACAGCCAGGATATGGGGTCCCCCAGCCAGTACAACAGCCTGTCCAACAACAGCAGCAGCAGGAGCAGGTCCCACAACACCAACAACAGATATCACAGCAACAACAGTCACAGTATGATGCATGTAAGTGTTTTTTGTCACTAGACAACCAGAAACTAACTATTGAACTCTAAGATGCAACAAGGATTGTTCTTGTGTGGTAGTCCTATGTGCCTTAACACAAAATATAACAGTACTTTTGGTCCTTCTCGAAATGGACACCTTGCTGCTAACATTATTTTGAAGGTACAGTAAAACAAAAATATATTATTCTGGATCTTCTATCAGTCTATCTCTAATGGTTAATTTTCTACCATTTTTGAAGAATGAAAGAAACTTATTGATAATTAATTAGTGAAATTAAAACAAATTAAAATGCCTCTGTCATTAAGTCAGGCTTAGATTATAATGTAAACGTTATAGGATATTGAAAACGAAAATACTAGAAATTGTGTTTTTAGTATAATAATAAAGGTTTTTTTTTTTGGGTTCCGCATGTTATTTTATTAATTATTCACTAACACCTAAATAGTCTTAAGCTATTTTCTTTAATCAATCTGCAAAAAACGTCAACAGAAAGTTTTGACAATACATCTTTGCATTTTTTCTCAGCCAATATAATGCTGATATGGCCAATATATAGCTAATTAATTTTTTTTGTTTTCTCCCCAGCCTTATATGGCCAATATATAGCTAATTAATTTTTTTTTGTTTTCTCCCCAGCCTTATATGGCCAATATATAGCTAATTAATTTTTTTGTGTTTTCTCCCCAGCCTTATATGGCCAATATATAGCTAATTAATTTTTTTTGTTTTCTCCCCAGCCTTATATGGCCAATATATAGCTAATTAATTTTTTTTTGTTTTCTCCCCAGCCTTATATGGCCAATATATAGCTAATTAATTTTTTTTTGTTTTCTCCCCAGCCTTATATGGCCAATATATAGCTAATTAATTTTTTTTGTTTTCTCCCCAGCCTTATATGGCCAATATATAGCTAATTAATTTTTTTTGTTCTCTCCCCAGCCTTATATGGCCAATATATAGCTAATTAATTTTTTTTGTTTTCTCCCCAGCCTTATATGGCCAGTATAATGCTGGCTATCAAGCTATATCTGGCCAACCAGCTCTGAACCAGCCTACACCAGGTCACATGATGTATGGCCAGCCTGGCCTGCCTAGTCCAGGGACCTACAACCAAGCACCTGGCATGCCACAGGTAGAGGTAGTGACTACATTCTTTTAAAATACTCTCTAGTTTAAAATCACCTTTCTCTAAAGAAGTATGAAGTTTAATTAAGTAATTAACTTTGCCAAATCCATAAATAACAATAACTTTTGGTTACTTTTAAAGACAGCATACTTTTTGTTTCTTCTGATTTGAGCTTATTATTATTGCTGCTGAAACCAAATAATTTATTTTTTAATTAAATTAAGCTTACACTCTTTTTTTGTATCCCCATCCAAATAGTGTCATTTTCAATTATAAGTTAAAAAAAAAAGTTGAATCAATCTATAATTGTTATGCAGCACTGTTCATTCATATAAAATATTTAGTTACAGTTTTGTGGTATAGGTATTGTTTACAGTGAGCTCTCCATTGTTTACAGGTGAAAGGTCAAGCATACCCACCCAACCCCACCCCTGCTGGTACAGGTCAGTCCCCCAACAACCCCTACTCACGAGGTGGTTACGGGGGTGGTTACCCACGACCCAGTGCTGGCTACCCACAGTAGCCACAAGACTCAAGATAGTGAAAAACAAGAATAAGTTGTGATTGAAAATTTTGTGCTTTGGACGTCACTGGATAAGGATGGATTATTTCCCTTATTACTTGTGTAATACAGGCAAGGGAGGCAACAAATTAAAGGCATTTAAGTATCACTGTATATATTAGAAATTAACTATATCAAATGAGTTGTCATGAATGAAATAACTGTTACTTTATTTCTTATTTAAGGGCTGGTGTGTTGTTGTTTTTTTCTGTTTCATTTATGAGCTTGTGGAATCAGGTCTGTTGAGGTAGAATACCAACCATTCTTCTTACTTGTATTAAAACTGTATTCTATACTTAAAGATCATGTTTGGTGTGAGCGTAGTAGTTTTTTATCATAATCGGTGGAATATTAATTATATTAAATAGCTAATATATGCATGTTGACATTTCTTGTGTATAAATTTTGCTAGTATCAAGGTTACTTTTATTATGAAAGTGCATTTTCGTCAAAGCAAAATGAATTAAAAAAATGTTTTTTTTTTTAAAATGATACTAGTTCATGGGTACAATATAAGACTTTTTTTTCTGTATGTCTAGTTTTAACATAAAGGCTTTGCGTAAACAAATTGTTGCTAATCCTTCTTGGGTAAATCTACTGTGAATAAATAAACAGAAAATATATCTAAGCTTTATTGGTCATAGTAATCCACAAGGTGTATTGTTAGCCCAGCACTTAGATCAGTGACATTTCCTCCAGTATAGCTTGCTGTAACTTGACCGATTGAATATTTACTTGATGTCTGTGGTGGACTATCTTACTACTTAGTTGAATACATCACCACTTCCGTGGTGAAAACTTGAAATATTTGATCAAGTGAAACTGTGTTGCAATGTTAATCTGACCCTTAAAGCTCTGTTATCTTATTTAAATGTGTCAGTAATGTTGTTATATGTGGATGCTTTGGTACATATCTTTTGTTTCAATACTCTACATTTTTTTATTCCACATCAATATCTTGATTTAGTATCTCTCATAGAAGGCTTGTTCTTGTTCTATATCTTGATTTAGTATATATAAACAGATCACTAAACTGACAACCTAACACACCTACTTTTGGAAGAGTCTACTGTCAGACTGGCAAGAGGGATAATCCAACAAATAAATTTTCACTAGCAAGTCCTGATGTGTTTTTTGTAAGACCCATGAGTTACCGGCCAAACCCTAGACTAGGCTCCCATTGTTTTGTCTGATATTAATGCCGTATCTGAAGAATTTCAAATACAAAGTATCATTAAGGGAAGGTCTAAATATACATACTTATATAAATATATAATCCTAAGTTTGTACATTGATTATTTATTTCTTTGGAACTTAAAAAAAAATTAACTTATTTATTTTTTCTTGTTTGCTATCGATTTTAATAATTTATATTAAAAATTCTTCGAAGTTGTTTCAAAGTGAAATACATTTTTTGAAAAAAAATATCTACACCTGAAAATTTTCAAAAATATGACAGACTTTTATTTTCACAAGTGATGCAACTTGTGAGTTAACACTAAGAAAATGTTACATTTGTTCTTTGAAGTGTAAAACATGTACGTGATGCCACCTTGTCTCCTCATGTTGTGTTGCTAGCACTCTGTTATATGTCTGCGTACACGTCAGTATTTCTTTTTGGTCCATACACACACTATGGCTTATATGATTCTGTGTACACTGTTAATTCCATTTTGTATGCGTACCAGTAAATAATTTATTAGTTCAAGTTTCACCTTAATCAAATATTATTTTTACATTATATTTTAATTTAGTGTACAAAAGTTTGGTGGGGCTATTTGTGGATGTGCTTCTGTAAGTAATTCTGTTCAGAGCTAGAGCAAGGGACAGAACTGCAGACAAATCCAATAGATTGAAAGTCAGGGACAGTCTTGCTGGATGGTGAGATTCTGCTAATGGGAAGTAGATTTGGCTATGGTGGTTTCTTAAAATGTTGGATGAAAGCTGCAACCTGACAAAGAAAGGGAACAAATTAAATTGATGTGTGTGAGGTGATTGACTTGATGTGTGTGATATCTCAAAGTTTTTAAAGAAAAATTAAAAATGTTTTGCTCTAATAATCCTATGTCAAGCCTTTGTTTTATTGAAATAATATTTTTTCCATCTATCTGTCTATCCATTTATCTATCTATCTGTCTATCTATAGGTAACTATCTATTTATATGATTATCTAAGTATATATAATTATGTATATATGTAACATTATATGTATATATATAACATTATATGTATATATATAATATATATATATATATATATATATATATATATATATATATATATATATATATATATATATATATATATATATATATATATTAAAAACATATTTATATATATACATAATTATTTACATGAATTAATATATACATACATAAATATATACCTTCATTAAAATATACACAAATATATACTGGTTTAGAAAAACCGCTTACTTTGCATGTAACTAATTATTATAGTTAATCGAGCATAACTTTCCTAACCCCACCCCCTTCCTCATTAATTAGTTACTATAAACCCTATACATCAAACCCTTCAACCCACGAATATTCATGAATGATTCGACGTAAAGAAGGGAGACAATGAACTGCTGTCAACGGTGAATTGGTCTCGTGAACTTGAACTCACATTAAAACCCGACCGAGTTTTCCGCCCATGTTTTTCATCGCCCCTCTCCCCAGTACAGTTGGATACATGTTTGTAAAAATAAAACAGGTCGATCTCATAGCTACATCGAAGACGGTTACAATCAATCGATTCGTGTTCAGCGTTACACATCATCTCCCTGTTCATATCGTCATTAGATTTGAGCTATAATCGCCGATTAAAGGTGACAACATGCTACAGCTCAATATGACATCGTCATATAGCCCAATATATCATACATACGATGCTATCATAAAGCTCAATATTACATCATCGTCTATAGGACATTACCCCCAGAACATCCCCCGCCCCCCTCTTAAGTTAGAATCCTAACTCTAACTCAAAAAACATTAATCCTAACCTTAAGAAAGAGACCAAAACCTAAGCATTCACCTCAGCCTAAAACTTAACACAAAACCAAAGCCATCTCTATACATTGGTTTAAGCCTAAACTGTACCATAACCCTAATCCTAGCCCTGACCCAAACCCTGACCATAACACCAACCCTAATCCTAGCCCTGACCCAAACCCTGACCATAACACCAACCCTAATCCTAGCCTTGACCCAAACCCTGACCATAACACCAACCCTAATCCTAGCCTTGACCCAAACCCTGACCATAACACCAACCCTAATCCTAGCCCTGACCCAAAACCTGACCATAACACCAACCCTAATCCTAGCCTTGACCCAAACCCTGGCCATAACACTAATCCTAATCCTAGCCCTGACCCAAACCCTGACCATAACACCAACCCTAATCCTAGCCCTGACCCAAACCCTGATCATAACACCAACCCTAATCCTAGCCCTGACCCAAACCCTGACCATAACACCAACCCTAATCCTAGCCTTGACCCAAACCCTGACCATAACACTAACCCTAATGCTAGCCCTAAATCCAGCCCTAATTTTAACTGTACATTAAGCTATGTCCGGGGGGGGGGGGGGTAATGTCCTACTAGGCAGGGGGTAATTACTGCGGGGGGTAATGTTGGGGGTGTGTGGAAATGTCCGGGGGGTAATTGATGGGGTTGGGGGTAATGCCCTGTTCTCGACATCATCATAATCCTTAATATGACATCATCATAAGCTCAATATGACATATGACATGATCACATAATATGATATTGCTAAATATGACATCAACATATAGTCCAGTCTGACATCATAATACAGCTAAATATGACATCACCATATAGTTAAACAGAACATTGCTTCCTCGTTATAGTTCTTAAACATAACAGATGATCACCAACTTATCACCATATACAATTCAGTAGTGATTATAGCGATGAAACATGATCTATGCATGAAAACGCAGGCAAGATTTCTTTTAGAGAAAGATGTAATATTAAAAGTAGAGATTCTAAAACTTGAAGAGACAATTGTAAAGGACACGAATATCCTGGAGAAGGACTGCTGAAAGAAATGCAAGGGCTGCGGGGATTACATGGGCTCAACTGGAGAGAACCTCTCAGAATGAGAATTAATCCGAATGAAATGTGTAGTCGCAGCCCTTTTTCCCTCATGGGCTCTCAGGAATAAGTCAAATAGAAAATAACGCAAATTTATTCAGCTTTTTAGTTTGCCTTTATTCAACTTTTGGATCGTATTTTGGACACATTGTAAATTTATAAAAAAATTTTTTAAAAAATGACGTCATGGTTCAGTGGTTACTCCCATATTTAAAAATAGAATTCATTTCAAGTTGCGCGAGGCAGGAGAGCAGTACTTCGATAGCCGAAACAGTAAGGTAAGCTTATGCCAAGCTGTTCACTCGGCTGATCGGATATCGATCCGCCCCAGAGAGCCTATCGATTAAATATATACAAAGGTAAAAAAAAAAGTTTACGTTCAGAGTTAGAAAGTTCCCTCCCTTGCCCCTACTATTCTCCCCTTCTCCCAAGCGAATGTTATTGAATATTTCTTAGCTCTTCGATTCTTTATTGATTTTTTTTTCGACTGCGTTTTAAAAAAAATACCGTTGACTTTTGTTTCATAATATTTCGTTTTTTTTAAAGAGCGGGATTGTTTTGAATATTCAGGAATAAATTTCAAGAAATACGGAATGAAAAAAAAATGTGTTAAAATTTCTTTGAGTTGGTTGTTTAGGAGAATATATTGAAAACATACGAAATGTGCGTAACGTTATGTTGAAGTTTGTTATCTATAACATACTACGAGTGTGTAATTTAAAATGGATCTTTCGTTTCTGTTACACATCAGTCAACTTTCAGTCAAGTTAAAGTCAAGTGTTTGTAAGGTTGTTTTTAGTTGTTTGTAAGGTTGTTTTTAGTTTTTAAATTTTAAACTCTAAAGCAGATGAATCGAGTTAATTCTTGTGTTCTGTGAAAAGGCATATACACTTCTGACGTCGCTTTTAAAATTACTGAGATACTAACACGTAGGTTTCAAATGTGGACATTGTTTACCTTAAGGGACTAGTGTCGGATTAGTCAACCATATTCATTTGGTTAGGGAGGAATATATTTTATAGTCCATATACATTATTACACTACATATATATTTATATACATTATTTATACATACATTCATATAAATATTTATACATACATACATACTTATATATATATATATATATATATATATATATATATATATATATATATATATATATATATATATATATATATATATATTATTATGTATATATGTGCACACACACACACACACACAAACACATATATATATATATATATATATATATATATATATATATATATATATATATATATATATATATATATATATATATATATATATATATATATATATGTATATAGACAGCTTGTTAAAACATAGTTATATTATAGATTCCTTTATTTCTTACATGATGAAGAAAAAATAAATAATTTGAATTGTAGCTTCAAAATTGACACGTAATCGATTATACATTCGTTCAGCTAGTGTTGCTAACATTTAGTAACCATGACAACTTATGTATGTTTAAATAAACGCCTTTTTCATTCAGGAAAGTAAAACAAAAAATCCACGTCAATTTAATGGTTATGATAAAAGTAAATATGTGAACAGTTATTAATTATAAGGATTTTTACAATTTTTGTTGCCCTCTGGGTGTGTTCGAACTCTGGAACAACTTTCTCGTTGACAGTGAATTGAAGGTTTATTTGTTCGAACTTTGGAGTGATTTTGTTTGTATGCTGTGACAATAAGTTTGGACTTTAGAGATGAGGACATTGGGATCTCATTGGTGTCCACCCCCATTCAACGCTAGACTGTGTCTGTGTAATCGCCATCAGCTGTGGGCAGAGATTCACATGGAGATAGAGAGGTAAGAATATTTAATTTTTCCAAGTCATTAAAAATTCATGTCAGCTGGAATTGATAAAATCTTAATGGGTTAATTTAATTTAGTAAATATTCCATTTTAAACCAGTGTTTCTTTTAGACGAAGCTCGTGACGAAATATAAAAAGATATTAAAATTTAACTATTTAATGTAAACAATAACCATTGTTATAATTGCCCTACCCTTAAACGAAATCACACCACTGTGCACTACTTAATAATCACAATTAGTTTAATTGTGAAACAGCATGTTTCGTTTATATGAAATAATAGTTATCAATAAAAACGCAATTACAATATTCAGTTCTTTTTAAATTATATATATATATATATATATATATATATATATATATATATATATATATATATATATATATATATATATATATATATATATATATATATATATATATATATACATATATACAGTGGCGCAGCGAGGTCGGGTGTCACCCGGTGCGGCACTTAATGGTGTCACCCCCCCCCCCCCCCCCGAGGCGTAGAGACTCTTCCAAGGGACAAACTTTCTATTTTCGATTTGCACTCCACCCCCCCCCCCCCTCAAATTTTTCTCTATGTATTTTTACTATTTTTTGCATTGGTGTCACCCCTTAAATGGTGTCTCCCGGTGAGGTCCGCCCCCCCCCCCCTCGCTACGCCTCTGTATATATATGTCTTATATTGTTACTTTTTTAACATAGATAGTGAAGCAGTGAATAGAGTAATGAAGGTTTATTCCTTTAATTTCTAGCAAACAGATGCATGAATGTTATTTGTGGCTTATGGTTAACTTAAAATGTTGAATTATTTCTCGGAATAATTAAATACTTGTCGCGTTAAAATCCGAGACTTACAAGTTAGAGATTAAAAACAAAAGGTGATTGAAATAACCCAAGAAATTAAAATTATTATAGTTGTAAACTAAATATAAATTTTAAAAAATGTTAATTGTATATAATTTAAACATGGTTTAAGCATTTTTATTTTGTTTCATTAAATTTTAGCGATATAAATTTATTCTCGGATAGGCCTACATTTTGATATTTTAAAAAAAGACTGATTTTTCTATATCGAGTAAATGTGTGATTAAGTCCAATATCACTGCCAAATGTCTAGACTTGGCAAGACGATTGACAGATTTATTGAGCAAAGTCGGAATCTGAAATGTGGCACTGTGGCAGTATCAGACGTGGGATCAATACTCCGTCACACGTCAACACTAGGCCGACCCAAGTTAGGACAATTACGTGTATTAGCACACGGCTGTTATGCTACAAAGTTCCGGTTATGTTCGGTGATTAAGGATTTTTGTTGGCGTGTTTCGGATTTTTATGCTTCCTTTGATTTTAGACGTTTTTATTTTTTTTAAATTTCATAAAAAACGTTTTTAATAACAAGCTTTTATGTACTAATGCACTAAAAAGTAGAAAATAAATTATAGACTACTAGTTAAATAACTGGAAAGAAAAAAAAAATTGACAAAAATCAGCCCACAGGGCACATTCACAAATCCAGCCTATTGGGAATTTTGCGCTCCCAGGCTAACCTACGCAGAGGTATGCCAGGGGCTGTGGGGTTACCAGCTGTTCTGGGCAGCAGTATTTGTACTTTGTAAAGTACCAGATTGTCGCCTGGATCTGCCGGCGGTCCCACTTTAACAGGCCTTGGGGAGGGCGGTTGAACCCTTGGAGGCACATATTTCTTTATTTGGGTGCTAGTCACCCGGCGGGTGCCAGAAGGACCATCTTTCTTCTTTGTGGCGTAACACCCGCCGGTGATCAGGGGTATTTCGACCACGACATATATAGTTGGGCCGTACTGGTCAGCCATTTTGTGCTGGCCCAGGGGGTGCTGCCTCTGGCAAGTTCAGTGGCTGGCCTGTTGTTGACTTGTTTGTCCCTTTTGGTTGCCTCTGTCTGGGGGGCATTTCTCAGCCCCACCACTCGGTGCCTTAATTGTGGATGAGTTATATATATATTGGGGGTGGGGGGTGGTGGGGGGTCACACCACGAAGTGCCGCACCGGATGACACCCAACCTAGCGACGCCACTGTGCATGACATAAAAATATTCAAACTGTTTAAGCTTAGGCCCTAAGCACTCTACATGACAGCCAATGACCAAATAATTAATCATTCAAATTCTCAAAAGCTTTTATGTATATATATATTTATATATATACATAATATACATATATATATATATATTTATTTATATTATATATATATGTATATATATAAATATAAAAAAAAATAGAAAGTAAAAAATGAGTTCAGCATGACAGTGTTCTGACGAATCAACTTTAGTGATAATCTTTGGGCCAGTACGAACTCACTCTAGTAAGAAGCCCCGCTTGACCCGGATCAAGAAAACGACTTAAGAGGCTCCTCGAATACCGACCAAAGAAACCACTAAGGAAAATTCGGCACTATTCTTAGTAAAACACTACAGCTTCTGCTCGTGTAGTTTACTTACAGTCAAATGCTACTGCATGTGCATTAAATAAACAGCCCCGACGTTTGAGGAGCCATATTTTACATTTTTTACACGTGATGATACCTTATTTTTCTAATTATAGATTTGTCATTTTATGTTCATACCGTGAGGTAATAAAAAATGCGCATATTTTTGAACGGAAGTTTCTTTTATTTCATGTAATGTCATTTATTAAAATTTGAATTAAACGCTGCGTGGCAGAATAAACATTGCGGCGACTATCAAACAGGGTTCTGTTTCGAAACTGATTAGAACTTTAGAACTATGATGGGTCTATTTTGGTTATAGATATAGTGCTGAGGGCAGTAAAAATTAATTTTTAACGCAAAATTCCCCTGTTAGTGGTTATGGCTAGTTCAAAATAATAGATCATCAGAGGAAACATTTAAAATTTTAACCCATTAACAAAATAAGCATCTTTTGTAGTTTCTACGATTCTACGAGTTTTGTAGGCGTTTTGTTTTAACCGTAGACATTTTTTATCATAACTGAGGAAATAAATTGCCTATTTCCAGGCAACCGTAAGCTAATATAATCACACTCTATCGTTGACCACAATAAGCCTTACATTTGTGATTACCTCCTTGATGTTTTTAGAAATTTATTTTCTTACATACGAAACAAGTAATTAAAAAAGTCTAGTGACATTTTTAGCGCAATTTCCTTATGTTATCTAAAAATAGCTCTGTCGTAGCGTAAATCAAGAGCAGGGTTAGTAAAACCATTGGTTAGTTATTAAAACGTTTTTTATTAAATTTTTTTCAGTATTTTACATGTTTTATTTTCAATAGAGTAACATGACTAAAAACCATTGCGCGCCTAGCTACCGAACGTGATGTTGCAGTGATGGCGCAGCTATTGAACGTGATGACGCGTGTGGTGTGGTTGGATAAAACGCCTACTAATTCGGTCCAAATTTTAATTAATTCAAAAAATTTTTTGTGACCGAACGAAAGGATATTTTTGAAAACTTTCTTCGGCAATATTATTCTAAATTATGGCAGGAATCGATTGGTACATGTTTCAAGTCGCTAAGTGATCTGGTTGCCGAGATATGGGCCAAAAATTGAATTTTGTCGAGGTTTTTTTTGCTTTTCCGGGAAATCCATGAAAGAAACCCTGAATTTTTATGGCCTATGTTCATCTTCGTAACTTGCTTAACATAATTGCTTTTGGAACTAGTCCTTGATATTGCTTCGTTGAGGAGGAGATACGACTTAAAGCTGCGGACACACATCCATTCCCAGAAAAGACGAGTTAATAAACGCAATTCTCCAGAATGGAAATTGCGCTAAATAAACCGGGAGTGATCTCCCCTAAACTTTCTCGAATATTCTTATATAAAATAACAGGGGATGGGAACTCGGGCTATAGACATGATTTTTAATCCATTTTAAATACTTAAAGTTTTAAAAATAGAATAAAATCTCGTAGACAAATTAATTGCACACCAAGTGAACGCGAAATAAAAAAGCGCATAATAGTGCGCAATATTATTATTACTTTTAAAATTCACATTAGTTTTTTGAGAAATCGGAAGTAGCGTAAAGTACTACTTCCAGTCAACGGAAATGACTCAAAATTTAATAGAAGGTAGAGAATTAGATCTTTTACTTACGTATGAAATTTCATTTATCTATCTGAAATAGTACTCAAGTTATAGGCTTTTGAAAAATTCAAAGTAGAAAAAGTACCACTTCCGGTTGTCGGAAATCGCTCAAAAGTTGATACGGATCTACGATTTTGATAAAATACTTATATATGAAATTTCATCAACCTAGCTGTAACGGTACTCAAGTTATCGTGTTTACACACGGACACACACACACACAGACACACACACACACACAGACACACAGACATACGGACAAGATTGCAAAATTATGTTTTTCCGTATCAGTGAGATGCAAAACGTCGAGATTTGCAAAAATCTCGATTTTTTTTTTTGCACGATTACAAGACATTCTCTATACTTCGTATATACGAGAAAGTAAAAATGTAATCCTTTATTGCATTCTATAAAATTACCGGGTCTAAATTGTATTGTAAATATTGCATTAGTATTGTCAGATAAACAGCTATTTTTTTTTAATAACGTGGAATCCCTTCGACATAAAAACAATAATTTTAATTTATTGGAAATGAGTCGACCTTAATTGACTTCACTGATGGGCGAGTAAGATTCCAACTAGCCGCTGCGTACACATTGTTGCTAAGTGAATTGAGTACGAATCGACACTTGAATAAGTTACCAATTAAACAGCACGAAGTCCTAACAATATGGCAGAGGGAATTTTATGTTATTGGCAACTGGTACGGTTGGCTTCTTGTAGTTTTAGCGATTAGAGTGTAGATATGGTAGAGTGTTTCGTCACACACAAAGTTAACTCTGATTCTTATTGCAGCTTGAAGATTAGTGAATGTTGATAGTTGGGTCCACGCTTTTGTCGACGCTCAGGCCACATGCCTCAAATGGTCTCTTTAAATAC